TCTGTTAGCATTTGTACCACTGAATTTGCAATTGACTCATACCATCAGGAAGATCAGCAAGATGCAACATAAATATCCTGAGGATTATTGAAGTGGAGGAAATCAGTTATCAAGATACCCCAGTCTCAGCTATATCCAATAAGCCCTGAAGAAAACATGGACTCTATTAATTAACATGTAGGTTTGTGATCAGTTGCTGTGCCCTGCATGGTCAATTACTACCATCACTTACAATCTAAGCTGTTGAATTAACAGTGATCATTACTTGTGGCATTGTATCCAAATCAATAACTTCAGTGAAAAGCAGAAACATTTGTTGGGGGAAGGGACTGAGCTAATAAGAACAACGATCAATATTTTTCCAGATGCTCCAATGGGCCATACCTCTAGATTGAAAACCTCAAAGTCTATAATTGCCATTCCACTATGTCTTTCCCCACGTGGCCCCATTTGTTGCTTAAGATTTGGAAAGGTTCCAATCATAAACTTTCTTTATATGCCCCATTGTCCAGAGTAATTTCCTTCACACTTTCGTCATTAATACTGTTGTCATTCCTAGCACACAGGATAAAATTTTTTAATTGAAACCCGCTTCTTGTACAAATGTCACCCTGCTCCTTAAAGAAATAAAAACTAGCATATTGCTAGCTGAAGTATGTGTGAACGAGACTGTGATATGTCATGAACTGAAAACAACCAATGCTGGAGATCACAGCAGGTCAGACAGCATCCATGGATAGACAGCAAGCTAATGTTTCAAGTCTAAATGAGTCTTCATCAGAGCTGAAGTGAAGCGTGGAGGGGGACAGCATTTATGCTATAATTTGGGGTGGGGGTTTGGGCGGATAGTGGGTGTAGGGTGGTGGTGGAGAAAAGATGTTGCTCTTTTCTCCACCAGCACCCTACACCCACTACCCCCACCCCAAACTATAGTATAAATACTGCTCCCTCCACACTTCACTTCAGCTCTGATGAAGAGTCATCTAGACTCAAAATGTTAGCTTGTTCACCCTCCATGGGTGCTGTCTGATCCACTGTGACCTCCAGCCTTGGTTGTTTTCGGTACAGATTCCAGCATCTGCAATAATTTGCTCCTACACTGTGATTTGTCATGTTGTATCAGGTTGCTGTTTGCTAAACCTGAAACAACTTCATTACTAAACAGCATAAGGAACATTTTGTAAAATTTGCACTACCAGCAATTTTGATTTTAGGAGTGGTTGGAGTAACTGGATTAACATTTTTTCCCCCACAGGGTGTGAGCATTGCTGGTAAGAACCATCATGTATTGCTCAATCCTCATTGTGCCAAAAAGGGGATGGTCTTCTTGAACTAGTACTTCCACATTCTAAGCATACACCTAAAATGCTGTTAGGAAGGGACTGGGAAAGCAAATTTAAAAAAGGTTAGATTGGGGCAGAAAAAATGGTCTATAAATGCAGTTCAACAAGTCCGAGTAGCCTGCTCAAAGAAAAACAAACCACTGCGGATGCTGGAAATTCGAAATAAAAACAGGAAGTGCCGAAGAAATTCAGCAGGCTGCTCAGCATCCGAATTTGAACTTCGGTTCTGAAGAAATCAGACTGCACGTAAAACATAAGTTTATTTCTCTCTCCACAGACGCGTCTAGGGCTTTCACCTCCTTGGTTTAAAAAATCAAAAGCAATAAACTCAGTAACCAGGATTCCTTTAGCTTAACAGATTAAGTAATTACTTTGGCATATATCAGGATAAGAATACATGTACAGACAACAATAAATAGTTTATTTAGCAAATATAATAAAAAGAGAAGCAGGAAAGACTAGAACCACGACATTTAGGGCAATTCTTTCACTCCTTTTCTTTGAGGGGATAGTTTAATAATTTGAATGGTGGCAAGATAAAAATATCTCAAAATATTTCACAAAAGATCATTTTTGCTATGTGCGAATGACTATCTCAGTCCATTCGCAACCACTAAAAGGAGTGTACACATGCCTCAAAGGTCAGTATTAGGACTATTGCTTTTCCGAAGATACGTAAATGATCTCAAGCTTGATGCACAGGAGACAATTTCAACGTTTGCAGAAATCACAAACTAGGGAGAATTGTAAACTGTGAGAAGACTACTGTGGAATGTCAAAAGGATATGTTGAAGTGGGCAGATTGGTCGCAGATGAAGTTCAACACAGAGGAGCAAGAGGTCATATACTTTTGTGCAAAGATCACGTAGAGACAATATAAAGGATACTTTTGTAAAGGATGTGGAGAAGCAGTTCACCAGGGTGCATACGCACCTAAGTCATTAAAGGTGGCAGGACTGGTAGTGAGAATTATTAATAAAGTATTAAATAGGCTTCGTTAGTAGGAGGACAGAGTTCAACAGTACAGAAATTATGAAGAATTTTCTTAGGACACTAGTTACACCTCTGCTAGAATTCTGTATACCATTCTGAGTACCACCCAAGCGGAATAACATGAATACATTGCAGAGAATGCAAAGGGGGTTTACAAGAATATTTCAAAAGATGAAACACTTCAACCACGAAGATAGATTGGAGAAATTAGGACAGTTTTCCTTGGGAAGAGAAAGAGGAGATCTGATAGAAATTTTCAAAATCATGAGCAGTTTGAACACGGCAGATAGGGAGAAACTGTCCCTGCTCATAAAAAAATCAAAACTCAGAGGGCACAATTTTAAAGTGTTTTACAAAAGAAACAAATGCAAGCTAAGAAAAATGCTTTTCCAGAAAATCAATTGTTAGCATATGAAATACATAAAGTGTGGCTAAGGCAGTTCACTTGAGGCATTCAAGAGAGAATTAGATGATTATCTAAATTAAACAACGTGCAGCGTTAAGGAGAAAAGGCAGGAATTGGGCTCTAAGCTAAAATGCTCAGGCAGCATGTTGAACCAAATGGCACGGAGGAAAAAAAAAAATTCCAATTTGCCACTTAACTTCTAAATGGCCACTTCAGAATCTCACTATTGGACAGTGACTACCTTATTTCCTCGCACTTGTATCAAGCTCAACTTGTCTTATTTATACTTCAAATGCTATTCTTCTGTCCTTGGTAACTATGGTGCAAATTTCCGACAAGCAAGTCTGTGCAGTACCGATAACTTCAGCTCACTATGTGCTTATCAGCGCCATCATGCAACTGTCTTTACCCAATGTCCTTACATACTCTATGGCCACCATCCTCTATGACCCTTCATCCATGCAAGTTGGGCAGTGACAAACCACCAGCTCCGGCTTCCTCCCACAGTCCAAAGATGTGCAGGTTAGGTGGATTGGCCATGCTAAATTGCCCATAGTGTCCAGGGATGTGCAGGCTAGGTGGGTTAGCCATGGGAAATACAGGGTTACAGTGACAGGGTGGGATGGGGAGTGATGGGTTTGGGTGGCATGCTCTTCTGAGGGTCTGGTATGGACTTGATGGGCTGAACGGACTGCTTCCACACTGTAGGGATTCTAATGAATCGCAGCAGTGATGGCCATGCTTTGGTTGCTTTAAAAGCTCTTAGGTAAAGAGGAAAGATAAAAACGAAGGACTGTTATCTAGAATCTATCAAAAAAAAAGCGGTTCACATACTTGTTGCTAACGAATGATGTGATCGTCATCTAATGTTGACATCTCTGACTGCCTCTCAAACACTTATTTTAAAGGTCACCTGGAAAATCTCTACTGACCTTCAGCAAGCTATGACTCTAGCTTTGAGAACGATTGAACTGCAGCAATTCAAGAAGGCAGCTCATCATCACCACCCTCTTAAGGGGCCATTAGGGATGGGCAACAAACCCTGGTCTTTCACGTCATTCTCAGATTTCATGAAAATGTAATTTGGAGTCATAGTGTCAAAAAGTCCATTTCCATACTTTTAATTCATTCACAGGATGTAGGATGTGAGAGTCACTGACTGGGCCAGCATTTACTGCCCATCTCTAAATGCCCAGTGGGTCTGGAATCAGATGTAAGCCAGACCAGGTGGTCCAAGATGGCAGCACAGGAGGGCTCCTGAGCTGGAGCTCATCTGCTCCGAATGCTTTTCTTTCTTAAAGTTTTTCTTTTCTCTACTTACCTTCAGGAGGGAGCTCAGCTGTGGAGGCAGCAGAGGCGACAGCATCAGCTAGAGGCTTTGGCGGTCAGCCACGAAGTGGTTGGTGTTTCAGGGCAGAAACCTGGCAGTCAGCAGCATTGCGGCTTCTTTGAGATCCAGAGTGGTACCAGAACAGGACTCCGGGTAGCGTGGGAGCAAGCAACACCTGGCAGCCAGCGGCGACAGCGGGAGCAGGTAGCCAGGGGCAGCCAGCATGGGTGATGTCGAGCCAGAGGCTGGGGAGGTCCAGCTTTTGTGAGGAGTGCTAGTATGGCCAGGCGTTTATGGACGGTGATGTTGAACTGTTAACCGTGTTTCTTTGTTTCTCCACTTTTTAAGCTAGAAGTACTATAATGTTTAACTCTTTAAACTTATTTTTCTGGTTTGTACCGAAGATTCTGTACTTAGGTACCTTTGTACCTAAGATGGATTCATAAGTGGCAACTTGTAAACTTATCACTGTACTCATGTGAGTACGTGGCAATAAACCTAATTCAATTCAGTTCAGGTCAGGATGGCAATTACCTTCCCTACAGGACATGAGTGAACCAGATTGGTTTTTCTAACATTTAGCAATGGTTTCGTGGTAGTTATTAGACTCTTAATTCCAGATTTGCTTTGGATTCAAATTCCACCATCTGCCATGGCGGGTTTCGAACCTGGCTCCTCAGGAGATTAGGGTCTCCAGATTAATATTGGATAATATACATGCACATATTTTACTAGGTCAGTCACTTTTGTGGCTTCTTTACTGGAATATGAATCAACTATTCTAGGATATATCTTCCCTGTATTCGTCTATTATCCATACCCCAGTCTTATCATTGAAAATATGTTTTAATTTAGGTGATCCTTAAATTCTGTAGACGATTGCAATAAATGCACATTCAAAATTTCTCCCTTATTTTCAAAGGATTACCTTCTTTGGCGGTTCCTGTTTTTGGCTGTATATACTTGTGGTGCCAAATCCTTGGCCAAACTTCACCAAAGCACCATCCACAATAAATGTAATGGGAGTATTCTTCTGTTGGTGCTGGTAAAAGAGGAGCAGTCCACATCTGCAAAGATGCACAGTCATTACACTGTACTAGTTTTTCTTTCTAGTTAAGAGATAAACAAATATCTAGAAGCTTTAATAAGTACATGAAAATTCAAAAATAATAAACCAAATACCCAGAAAAATAGTACACCTTTTAAATGAACAGCTAAAAGATAATTAAAATATTAAATATTCGAAAGAAAATTAAAAACTTATAATCATCTCCTTACAGTTTATTCTCAAAATTCTGCTGCTTCCCTTAGAACTTTTCAGCTGGTTATGAATGTAAGGAACATGGTGTTGTTTCATACAAATTGAACAATTGAAGCACGCACAGCAAAAGCAAAGTGATATGAACATGAAAATATGGTTTAAGATATAGGGCAGGTCAACATTTTCAAAACTGAAATGATTTAGTAACGGTTCATTATGGGCCAGACATTCCTTTGCTGTTAACAATTTAGCTTCAAGACTTTCATTTAAAAAATCAATAAATTTCATTTTAACTGTTTATTCTGGTAGTCATCTCTTCAAACATTTCCTATTTCTATACAAGAAAGTAAATAAATCAGATGTAACAGTAGATATATTTTACTAGTGAGGTGGGCTAAATAACTCTTGACATTGAAGATAAATTTCTTTTGTAGTTCCTTAAAATTAAATAATGCGTTATACCACACACAGCTGTTAACAGCCACTTTTGGCATCCTGTGATATTAAACTTTTTATAAGCTTCCCAATGTTGAAAAGACATTTTTTTAGTCACATTGTTCTCATTCTACTATTCATTTGACTTGACACTTGAAATTCAAGAGCTTAAAATGAGCTTGCTTCCTGCACTACCCTTTTAACCTGGCAAAGGAGAATCATTCAACTGCCTTTGAAGTCTTATAGTCCAATGAACAAAATCATTATGAAAACCATAAAATATAACTTCAAACCTCCCAAAATTCAAGGCAGTCTAGGAGTTGAATGCTGTCCTTAATCCTCAGGGTAAGATTCTGGTTTACTCACAACCCCAGATAAAATACAAGAGAAGACCTGTTATCTAAAAGGCCATGCTTTTCATCCATCAAGCCACCAATCTTTCTGCACTAGGAACTGTTGTTATTATTACCCTGTACTTGCCTTTTGTTTTCATCATGCACTCTAAATATGCCCTGTTTCACATGCTTTCCCCTTCTTATGCACACCTGGTCAGAACATCCAGTTGTCAAGCCAAATTCACTATTATCCAATACCTTAAAATGGTGAAATTCTTTACTTTCCTCTTAAAATTAACAGACTGTGCAGCAGAGTTTCTGCCTTAGGTGTAATTAACTATCCTGACACATGTTGCACTGCTATTGAGTTTTCCTTACCTTTTTCTCCTCATGTTCATGTCACTAAATGCGCATTCTGCTATGTTCCATTGCAGTTAGGCAATGTTTCTGACTTATTTTTAAAGATTCTTGGGCCAATTAAATAATGCAGTTGAAAATTGGTTTATCACAAGATAAAAAAGGAATCAGACTGTTTAGTCCACCACGTGAGTAACCTCATTTTTAAGTAACTGAAAAGGTACTTTTAAATAAATTAAATACTGTAGAACCAGCTGCTAGTTTATATTAACATCCAGTTGCTAGTTTCTAAGTAGATTCAAGAAATATCATGTTAAAAAGCTTTTAAAAAGATTTTTGAAGTGTCTGTGCATCTAAAAGGAAAGCTCTGCATTTAGGGCCTCTTTGGAGATCTGCGATCAGTGGCTATTAGTGGAAATTTAAATGGTACTTAATTCAATATAGGGCTTTGCTCACAGCGCTGGTTTCTCATATATGATATTTTTTACCTGACACATAACATCATACTTAAGCTGCACCTAAAATTTTGAGATTTTCTGCAGAAGTTTCGACAATTTAAGAAAAATTTAGACAAAAAAAAACCTGTGCAACTGGACAGAAATCTTGGCTGGTTTTATTTTAAAATTTTAGTTAAATATAGTGCAATATTACATCTAATTATTTGATGGAAAGCAATAATGACACAAAGGTTGGAAGTCAATTCATAATCTATTCTGTGAAGGGTAGCCACTGTAGAGAAACATTAAACATCTGACCAGTGATACTTCTAAATAAATTCCAATCAAATGCTTCCAATCAAAACTAAAGTGCTAACTAACTAGTTTCTTCATGAAAGAAAGGAACATGCAACTATACAGTGAATTTCATATCTTCTGGACATCTCAAAATGCTTCACAATCATACAGTCATGGAGTCATACAGCATGAAAACAGACCCTTTGTTCCAGCTAGTTCATGCCAACCATAATCCCTAACTAGACTAGTTGCACCTGCCTGCATTTGGCCCATATCCCTCCAAATCTTTCTTATTTATGTACTTATCTAGATATCTTTTAAACAGTGTAACTGTACTCGCCATCCACCACTTCCTCTGGAAACTCATTCCGCACGTGAACCACTGCGTGTAAAAACATTACTCCTGATATCTTTTTTAAAATCTCTCTCCCCTCGCCTCAAAAATATGCCCCAAATCTTAAAGGGGGGGGGGGGGGGGGGGGGGGGGATTTCACCTCCATTCACCTTTGTTATATCCCACATGATTTCATAAACCTCTATAAGGTCACCCTTCAACCGCCTACACTCCGAAGGTCAAATATGCCAGCATATTTGCAAGTGCCAAGTCCCACAAACAATGAGATAAAAACTATATAAATGTGAAAGTGATAAAAGTAACTGCAGTCAAGGGATAAATGCACATCCAAAAGATCTCAGTTTTCTAACTGAATGTGGAATCTTGTACATCCATCCATGCAAGGACAGTATCTCCATTTAACTTCTCATCCAAAAATGGCTCCTTCCACAAAGCAATACTTAAGTGCTGCACTCAATCAGATGAAATGCTCTTGCCTTTTGACACAGGTTACTACCACGACATTTTACACAATTTAGTTTTTGCACATTATTCCTCCTCCTCCACCCTCAACCCCCTCCCCACCACAGGCTTTGGGAATTGCTTCCTATTTCTCTTAGATTATGTCCATAACTTCTAATTATGGCATGGTGGCTCAGTGGTTAGCACTGCTGCCTCACAACGCCAGGGACCTGGGTTCAATTCCAGCCTCGGGTGACTGTCCGTGTGGATCTTGCATGCTCTCCCTGTGCCTGCGTGCGTTTCCTCCAGGTGCTCCGGTTTCCTCCCACAGTCCAATGATGTGCAGGTTAGGTGGATCAGCTATGCTAAATTGCCCATAGCATCTAGGGTGGGAAATGCAGCAATACGGTAAGGGGTGGGCCTGGGTGGGATACTTTTCGGAGGATCAGTGTGGACCTGATGGGCCTAATGGCCTGCTTCCACACTGTAGGGATTCTATGATCCTATGAATACGATAATTAGTATCGAGTTACATCTTACATTTTTCCCCACATAAAAAATTTTTTGTCCACACAGTTTGGTTATCAAAGTCATTATAAATGAAACGTATTGAGATAAGAGAGAGAGATAAATATAAGGCTTTCTCTAATCCACTGTTTGCTGGTAATTCGATTCTACATTCATCAGCCTCCTCCAGACTGCCCGGCCTTAACATTCATAGCTATCAGTGTCTCACAGCTTGAAAGGGAATGATTTTATTTGACACCTTCCGTTAGAAAACAAAAATGTTGCTTCTTTCAATTTATGGAACAAATAATTTTCTCCTAATTTTTCACACGTATAAATCAACATCATCATTTTACCTTAAATGACTTCTCATTGTTTATCACAGAGGCTCACTATTTCCTCCATTGTTAAAGCTGCTTCCATGAAGCACAGTTTTCACTTCAACATGTCTAAACCTCATAAAATTCTAATTGTCACTACCATAACAGGGCTATTCCCCAACAGCATAGTGCTTTTTAAAGCAGAGACCCACCATTGTTGACCCCACTTGGTCTCTACTCCTCATGTGCAACTACACTTTTGGACTGACAAGTATGATTCAATTACAACTAAATGACAGGTACTTACTTTCCGCATTTTTTCCTGAATTGCTTTTCTATCCCTTGTGACCTATGAACAGCAAAAATAAAATGATGAATGCTGTAACCAATCACACTCATTCAGAATGCACACTTCAACATTCTTGTAAATTGACCCTGACTTATTTCATGAAAGTAATGAATGAAATGTAAATAACTTCTGCAATTAAATTACCCACAACCATATGTGCTAGTTAGTTATCTCTCAAGACTCCTTTATACCACTGAGGCTCTGCAAATCTCTCTTCATAACCTTAGCAGCTCAAGCCCCAGAATCACAGATTATTCTTTACTAAATTACATCATAAATTAATGTTTTTCTGTGAACAAACGGATGAAAATACCACTTCACAGCAGATCATATAATCTTTGGCCCAGGAATCTGTCAAACTGCAACAGCTCACTGTTCATTAAAGTATAGACACTTATATTTACAACTACCCAAAGAACACTACCACTACTCAAAAAGACAGGGCCACCTTACCGTCTAAGATAAATGCTCTCATCTTCCTCAATATTACAGAATTTATGAGCATGCTTGGATGCATCAATAACACGTGCTCGGTCTTGTGGTCTCATGGGCAGTTTCTCCAAATGACAATCTAATGGAGGCAATAAAAAAAATAAACTTCATTTCTTGATCACTTATTGAGTAGTCAGAGACTGAGCCGTATCAACCAGAAAACTCAAATTTTATCCTAATCTACACAGAATTAATGGATTTCAGCAAAGGTTAAGGGTACAATTTGTTTTAGTGGTCCTGGGTTAGGAAACTAATGGAGGAAATTAAAACATTTCACTCAGTCAAACAGCTTACCAACATTATGCATCTGACATGTATATGAAACATCATCTCAGTGGTGAAATATCAGAAGTCTGCTGTCACTGAAGGAAAAAGCTAGTGGGGGGGCGGGGGGAGTAAATGTGATAGAGCTGGGGGAAATTAAGAAACAGATGTTTTTGTGAAAATATGCTTTTACCTGCAATTCTTGTAAGAAAAGATCAATTTTTTTCTTTCAATCTCTCGATGTCATTGAATCCCAAAGTGAAAGGAATCATATTGCAAGATCCTTCAAGTTGTAACTCAAATATAAATAATTTAAAAACAAATTGTAATAGGGTAGAAGCCCCCTAGATTAACTGATTTTACAGAGGTATCTTAAAACTAGGACACACACTAATTTACAGGTGGGTTCTACCTCAAACAGTCACAGTTTTAGGAGTGACAACAGAAGCAAACAAAACAGCCTCTGAAAACTATACCAAATGTTCATTTATCAGTCATTCCAGTACCCCACTTTTGTTGGAGTCCATTTTAACAGCAGACAAAACAAGCATGTCACACTGGTGATAAATAATAAAGGTGAAGAAGTTAATAAAAAACAACTAAAGTTCAAAGGATAATCAAAAATGCATCTCCAGGGTTGGTCAAAAATATTAACTAGTACACAAGAATGTTTAAAATTTGCTCAAGGAGGATTTGGTTCTTCAAATCACAATTAGCACAATATAGCCAAATTCTTTTAAAAGCAGAGGTAATACGGTAGCTTTAGCAAAATTTTGCAGACCTTGCCATTCCCTTCACAACGCTAGGCTAGTTATCCAACTAATGGAAGGACGCAGTGGTGTAACACAGCTGCAATTCACCACACAATCCCAAAAATGTTACTTTAAAACACTTTCCGCCTGGAGGAAAGGAAGAAACCAAATAAAAATTTAAGCGAGGATCAATTTGGGGTGACTGACTATAGTATTATATGAAAGCATGGGAAGCAGTTTCCAAGACTGAATTAGAAGCTGAAACATAAGCAAAGAAGGGAAAAGATAAAAAGATAATATTTTTCTTTGAGTTTAGAACTAGGTTGTAATTTATTTAACCATCCTCTCATTCTAGCTGGCTATATCAAAACAGCAATAGGAATGATTTTCTTGTCCTTAAAGAGGATAACCTTTTCCACTGTTATTTAAAAAAAGATATATTTTGCAGAATTAAAACAAACATTCCCAATCAGGAACATACAAACAAGAAACAGCAATAAGCCACTCCGCCTTTTGAGCCTGCTCCACCATTCAATAAGATCGAGGTCAGAAATCACACGACACCATCTTTTATCCATCTTCCCAGGCTCCTCATACTCTTATACACCTCAATGAGTCCCCTTTCAACCTTCACCACTCTTTGTAGTTCAGACCATCCAGCCTAGGCAACATGCTGGTAAATCTCCTTGCACCCTCTCTACTGCAATTACATTTATAATGTGGTTCTAGAAACACATGCCATACTCCAGTTGTGGCCTAACAGTTTATACAGTTCCAGCATAGCCTCTTAGCTCTTATATTCTATGCGTCAGTGAATATAGGCAAGTATTCTGTATGACATTTTAAATCATCTTATCTACCTTCCCTGCTACAGTCAGGGAATGGACATGGACACGGTTGTCCCTCTGATCTTCAGTACTTTCCAGGGTCCTACCATTTACAGTGTAATGCTTTACCTTGTTAACCCTCCCCAGGTACATTGCCTCACACCTTTTATGGTTGAACAACATTTGCCATTGCTCTGCCCAGCTGACCAGTCGATTGATTTCCTCCTGCAGTTTACAGCTATCCTCCATACTATTTACCATTAGCACCGGTATCAGTCGCACTCAATGTCTAGGACTTACTGGCAAATCACTTCTCTTCCACTCACAGCACTTGGCATACTTTGCTGCTCTACCAAGCCTGGATTGCCAAGGGTTGGAATTCATAAGCATCTCCTTCTGTCAAACACTCTAGACTCAGAAATCAGGATACCACTGTCAGAAGATGAGCTCTCCCGTTATCCACGGAGAATATGAGTAAAGCTCTCTAAGGGTTCCGGATATTCCAGTACCTTCCTCTCTTGTCCAGAGTGTTCTTCTAAAACTGAGAATATGGCATAGACTGAACAGGCAGGCACCCATCATTTTAGAGCAAAGGTGATAGTGACCACATTCCTGAGAACGGCCCTTCAGTAGAATACTCCTTGAATTGAGGGCTATCAGTATCAATTAATTATATCACTCAGAGCTGGGGAGTCTGTTTTCATAGTGTGTAACTATGACATACATTCTACTTTAAGACTGTGATTCGATGACAGCCACCAAATATTGAAGGGGTACTTTAGATCAATTCCGAGCTAGCAGTAGTTTGTTTAGGAGATAACAAGAACAGCAGATGCTGGAGAATCTGAGATAACAAGGTGTAGAGCTGGATGAACACAGCAGGCCAAGCAGCATCAGAGGAGCAGGGTC